AAGGTACACCTCATCCAAGACATAGTATTTTGAATGGCTTCCGATGCAACCGAAAGTTGGACAATGATAAAAGACAGAAGAATAATCAATGACTTTGAATTGTGGTGTTGGCAAAGAGTACTGAACATCCCACAGACTACCTGAAGAACAGACAAATCTCCTTTGAGGAGGTGTAACCAAGGTGCTCCTTACAGGCAAGGACGGTGAAACTTCAACTCACATACTTTGGGCATGTTGTCAGGAGGGATCAGTTCTTGGAAAAAGACATCATACTAGGAAAGGTAGAGGGTCAGCAAAAGATGAACATTTTGATTAAGTATTCTATAGAAAAAAATCCTGATCAAAAGGGAGGGGAATGTAGAACAGACTTTAAAATTCTTATATACTCTAGACTTTTCCGAGTCATGCAAGTTGAATGAACCCCTGAAACTATCATCCTGATTATATCCTTAAGGTTTAAATAAAAAAATATTCCCTGAAGTCATCTTTAAACAGAGCAATATTTTATGAAACACAATGTATGGAAATGATACTATGAAACAATGTGAATTGAGGAATCCATTAAGCACAATGTATATGAATGAAACACAATATATACATTTCTTAATGAAAACCAATATAAAATAAAAATAATTAAAGGGTGAGCAAAGGAAAGGGGAAAGATCTGGTGTGAAAAACAATGTATATGAACGTTGTAAGTAAACCAGCATAAAATTAAAAAAAAAAAACTCATCCAATTTAAAAAATGCAAAACAGCACACAGCAAACTACTGGGGAAAAAAACACACCAAACCAAACAAACCCACACAAACAAAACTCAGCAACCAAAAAAACCAGAACAATAGTTTAACCAATAATAAGTTTCCCTTGAAAAGTGTGGTCTTTATGAACTACATGGTCTCAAATTGGAAAATTTAATGAAAAATTGTTAAAAAAATGTTAAATAGAACCTTGTTGGAACCGACCCATAGTTGACCCTCAGGGAGGTTTTCAGAGGCAGTTAATTGCAAGGGAGAAGATTGCCCATCCTTCTCCCCTGGAGCAGGTGGAGGCCTCGAACTGTGTGCCTTTGGGATTGCAGAGCCACTTCTTGCACTATGTCACCAGAGCTCCCTAAATAGAAGCTTAGGGGACAATAAACTTATGTTAATGAGGGAGAAACAACTTAGGAAAGAAAGATGAAAATGGTTGCATAACTTAAAGAATGTAATCAAATCTACAACCAGGAAAAGATAAAATAGATGAATGGGACCTTTTAAGAATCAAATCTCTATGCACATCCATAAACTTCTCCACAGGGTAAAAAGGGAAGCCACAGACTGGGAAAAAGTATTTGGTAATGACATGTCAGATAAGGGACTTATATAAAGAATTTATAAAATACTTGAGCACCACAACAAGATAAAGGTAAATAATGCAATAGAAAAATGGGCACAGGATATGAACAGACACTTCACCAAAGAAGACATTCAGATGGCCAACAAGCACATGAAGAAATGTTCAAAATTCCTAGCTCTAAGAGAGATGCAAATTAAAACAACTATGATATATCATCTCAACCCAGTCA